ACTAAGGGACATTGGGAGACATTATGGGAGACACTAAGGGACACTGGGAGACATTATGGCAGACACTGAGACACTAAGGGACATTGGGAGACATTATGGCAGACACTGAGACACTAAGGGACATTGGGAGACATTATGGCAGACACTGAGACACTAAGGGACATTGGGAGAAATTATGGCAGACACTGAGACACTAAGGGACATTGGGAGACATTATGGCAGACACAGACACTAAGGGACACTGGGAGACATTATGGCAGACACTGAGACACTAAGGGACATTGGGAGACATTATGGCAGACACTGAGACACTAAGGGACACTGGGAGACATTATCACACAGACACTGAGACACTAAGGGACATTGGGAGACATTATGGCAGACACTGAGACACTAAGGGACATTGGGAGACATTATGACACAGACACATGGGGGCACAGTGCCCCCAGTCTGCCAGTGTCTCACTGTTCCCATGTCTCCCAGTGCCTCAAGTGTCACAATGTCCCCATGTCTCCAAGCTAGTGTCCCTAGTGTCTGTGGCCCTGGTGTCTCAGTGCCCCCATGTCTCAATGCCCCCCCCAGCCAGTGTCTCTAGTGTCTGTGGCCCTGGTGTCTCAGTGTCCCCATGTCTCCCATTCCCCCCATGTCTCAATGTCCCCATGTCCCCCAGCCAGTGTCTCTAGTGTCTGTGTCCCTGGTGTCTGTGTCCCCATGTCTTCAAGTGTCCCCTATTTTCCCAGTGTACCCATGCGTCCCAGCCAGAGTCCCTTAGTCTTCCAGTGTCACTGGTGTCTCCCCGTGTCCCTAGGTCTCCCCGTGTCTCTAGGTCTTCCCGTCTTCCTAGTGACATGGGGAACCTGGGATACATGGGGACACAGGGAGACATGGGGCATTGAGACACTGTGATACATACGATCACTGGAAGACCTGGGTACACAACACTAGGGGACACTGGGAGACATGGGGCACTGATACATATGAACACTGAGACCTGGAGTAATCGACACATGGGTCCACTGGGAGGAATCCATCTATACAGCAGAATCAAACTAAGTAGTTTTTTGGTGATTTAACAGCATTTTCTCTTATGTCACTCCTTGTGATTTACATCATGTGATGTCACCCATACATATTTAATTATGCAAATTAGCAAGGCCGGTATGTTTTTCCAAGAAAAATGGGAGACACTGAGACACTAAGGGACATTGGGAGACATTATGGCAGACACTGAGACACTAAGGGACATTATGACACAGACACAGACACTAAGGGACACTGGGAGACATTATGGCAGACACTGAGACACTAAGGGACATTGGGAGACATTATGGCAGACACTGAGACACTAAGAGACATTGGGAGACATTATGGCAGACACTGAGACACTAAGGGACATTGGGAGACATTATGGCAGGCACAGACACTAAGGGACATTGGGAGACATTATGGCAGACACTGAGACACTAAGGGACATTGGGAGACATTATGGCAGACACTGAGACACTAAGGGACACATTATGACACAGACACTGAGACACTAAGGTACACTGGGAGACATTATGGCAGACACAGACACTAAGGGACACTGGGAGACATTATGGCAGACACAGACACTAAGGGACATTGGGAGACATGGGAGACACTAAGGGACACTGTGAGACATTATGACACAGACACTGAGACACTAAGGGACATTGGGAGACATTATGGCAGACACTGAGACACTAAGGGACATTGGGAGACATTATGGCAGACACTGAGACACTAAGGGACATTGGGAGACATTATGGCAGACACTGAGACACTAAGGGACATTGGGAGACATGGCAGACACTGAGACACTAAGGGGCACTGGGAGACATTATGGCAGACACTGAGACATTAAGGGACACTGGGAGACATTATGGCAGACACTGAGACACTAAGGGACATTGGGAGACATTATGGCAGACACTGAGACACTAAGGGACACTGGGAGACATTATCACACAGACACTGAGACACTAAGGGACATTGGGAGACATTATGGCAGACACTGAGACACTAAGGGACACTGGGAGACATTATCACACAGACACCGAGACACTAAGGGACATTGGGAGACATTATGGCAGACACTGAGACACTAAGGGACATTGGGAGACATTATGACACAGACACTGAGACACTAAGGGACATTGGGAGACATTATGACACAGACACATGGGGGCACAGTGCCCCCAGTCTGCCAGTGTCTCACTGTTCCCATGTCTCCCAGTGCCTCAAGTGTCACAATGTCCCCATGTCTCCAAGCTAGTGTCCCTAGTGTCTGTGGCCCTGGTGTCTCAGTGCCCCCATGTCTCAATGCCCCCCCCCCCAGCCAGTGTCTCTAGTGTCTGTGGCCCTGGTGTCTCAGTGTCCCCATGTCTCCCATTCCCCCCATGTCTCAATGTCCCCATGTCTCAATGCCCCCCCCCCCAGCCAGTGTCTCTAGTGTCTGTGTCCCTGGTGTCTGTGTCCCCATGTCTTCAAGTGTCCCCTATTTTCCCAGTGTACCCATGCGTCCCAGCCAGAGTCCCTTAGTCTTCCAGTGTCACTGGTGTCTCCCCGTGTCCCTAGGTCTCCCCGTGTCCCTAGGTCTTCCCGTCTTCCTAGTGACATGGGGAACCTGGGATACATGGGGACACAGGGAGACATGGGGCATTGAGACACTGTGATACATAGGATCACTGGAAGACCTGGGTACACAACACTAGGGGACACTGGGAGACATGGGGCACTGAGACACTGATACATATGAACACTGAGACCTGGAGTAATCGACACATGGGGGCACTGGGAGACATGGGTCCACTGGGAGGAATCCATCTATACAGCAGAATCAAACTAAGTAGTTTTTTGGTGATTTTACAGCATTTTCTCTTATGTCACTCCTTGTGATTTACATCATGTGATGTCACCCATACATATTTAATTATGCAAATTAGCAAGGCCGGTATGTTTTTCCAAGAAAGGTGGCAACCCTAACTACTTTTCACATACTCTTACTTAAGTATGGAAACTTAAGAGGGATGTATGGGAACAAAACTTGTGTGGACTGGCTGACAATGAATATAGTTAAAGGGACACTAGAGTCACCAAAACAACTACAGCTTGTTGAATTTGTTCTGGTGAGTAGAATCATTACCGTCAGGCTTTTTGCTGTAAACACTGTCTTTTCAGAGAAAATGCAGTCTTTACATTACAGCCTAGTGATAACTTCACTGGCCACTCCTTAGATGGCTGGTAGAGATCCTTCCTGGGTCATAGCTGTCTAAAATGCATCCAAACATTCAGTATCTCCTCCCTCTGCATGCAGACACTGAACTTTCCTCATAGAGATTCATTGATTCAATTCATCTCTATGAGGAGATGCTGATTGGCCAGGGCTGTGTTTGAATCATGTTGGCTCTGCACCTGATCTGCCTCATTGTCAGTCTCAGCCAATCCTATGGGGAAGCACTGTGATTGGATTAGGCCACCACTTCTAATGATGTCAGCAGACTGTTTGTTTTTCTGAGTCTAACAGCATGCAGAGTTACAGCTTCAGGCTTGAATACAGTAAGATTGTGCTATATTTATGGAGGCATGAGGGGCCCAGGGGGGCTAGATGGTGGTGTTAACACTATAGGGTCATGAATTCAGGTTTGTGTTCCTGACCCTATAGTGATCCTTTAAGGTAATGCTGACTTTGGTCTCTCTAACAATGTGCTTCTACACTCACTACATACAGCTTTTCTCTGTCCCAGACTCTGTTCTTGTCAGGGTACCTGTTGGTGATGTATCCAGGGAGGACATCCTCTCTGCTTAAGGCCTCCCTGCCCCTAGCATTTCGGCATATTCCGGCCGTTTTCGCGCCGGCCGCGCTAGCTCCTCCCCCTTTTATGACGCGACGGCTAGCGTCGACGTCATGACGTCGGCATTTGCATAAAGTGCCGGGAACCGCTATTCCGGACCTTTTGGGGGCGTGGTCTCTATTTAGGTAACAGGGTATTTAAAGGAAACCTTTACTACTGCTCATTGCCCTGTCGTGGTTCTAGCTTACTAGTCACTCAGCGCGTTCTTTAGCTAGTGTTTCCGGTTTTGACCCTTGCTTGTCTTTTGTCCTGTTGTCCTCTCCTCTCCTTTGACTCGGCTTGTATCTCGCTTACCTGTCCTCCGGCTCCCTTGACCTCGGCTTACCTTTTGACTATTCTTGCTTTGTCCTTACGTTAGTCCGGCCATTCTAAGGTCCGGTATACGTACCTCATTCTGTGCGCACTCTGCGTATTGGATCCCTGTCACTTTCCTGACATTACGACAGGGCCAGATGGATCCTGCAGGTGCTAGTCCTCCTGACCCCAGATTTGAGGCCATGGACCATAGGATGGACCAAAT